ACATCCCCTATTTAACTCTCACTCTGATCCCATTCCACTGCCGAGTATTGTTTAGCGATTATCACTCCCCTAGCGATAGCTACACTACGAAGCCCGTTTAGTTTGTTTTAGCCCCACCTTAGTCTTGCCTTGTCTGTGTTCTTGTTCTTGCTCTTCGCCTGTGTCTGTCAGATTCCTCCTCGCGTCTTCCCCCATTTTGATACTGTTTGCCCCTGCCTGGACCTTGCCTTGTACCTGGACTTGTCCCTCTAGTCGCGCCCCTTTTGATTCTGTTTGCTTATCGTTGACCTACGCTAGCCCTAGGACTATTCTTGTGTCTTGCCCGCCATATACCTGTTTGACCCTGCCTGTGTTTCTGACCTCCTCTGATGATAATAAAGCTTGCATATGGATCCGCACGTCTCACGTCTTGTCAGCCCCGTTACAACTACATAATCCAGATCACATATAACCAGTTACTATCCCGTATTAACATTGTTTCTTTGAAATAAAAATCATTTGTAACATTAGAAATGTCTTTACTGTCACTTTTGATCAATGTAATGCATCTTTGCTGAATAAAACTACCCATTAATTAAAAAAACAAAAGTATGTATTTTTAAAAATCTACTTTTAGATAGTGTTACATTTCTGTAATTAATAATCACTTGCGCTTTTCCAGCCGAAGACACTGAGAAAGTAAGGTGCATTTGCGCACAATTGTTCCTTTTTTGCAGCAATTTTAAACAGGAGGAAGGGGGGCTTCATCAGCATCGCCCATTTAAAAAAAGACTGCTGTCCCCACCCCTCCTGTTACACTAACAAATACTCTCTTTGTGCAAGGAGGCAATGCAACATGGCAGCCGCACAATAGATAACACCCTCAGACCAGAGGAGTAATTATTTGCTAGCTCTTTTCCCCTGCTGAGCTGCATTGGCATTCATTAGATAACCTCAACGGTGACATATTAACAATATGAATACAAAAATATATGTCAAATGGTGTAATCATATTGTATAACCCAAAAAATGTATCCATGATAGCTGATAGCAAGAACAAAAAAAAAAAAAGTTTTTTATGTTTTTTTGGAAAAAAGTGAGTAAAATCTCATATATTCAAGGATTAAAATATTTTATTACTTTTTACTGATTGTTACACCACACTAAAAAGCATGAAAAAACTAATATGAATACAAAAAGTACAGGTGGGGTCAAATTTCTGAGAAATTTTATGAGCAAAAAAGCACCATTGTCAATAGTGTAGCCATATATGAAGCACAGCTCACACAGCAGTCACTTTCAAACCAAGCAGCTTTCTGTTGGTGAGCACAACGAATTTGCGTGACCATGTGAAATTTCACCAAGCAACAATAAATGTGACCGTGCCTTAAGAACTTGACAATTGCATTTAAACTAAATTTTTTAGTTTACCCTACTATGCTAGTGAAAGAGGTGTTTAAACGTGTTTGGAGTGACAGTAATTCTCACCCCCTGATTGGGCAGATTATCAGTCTTGAGCTCACGGTGGTTGGAATACTGGATGTAGACGGGCTGGTTGCGGACATGGGGTGTGGCTGCGGTGTAGTAGTTGACCATGGTGATTGCTGCTTCTTCAGAAGCCATTTCTATAAAAGCCTGTAGTGCAAAGAGAGACATACTGTAAATGCTCAGCCCTGATAACAACAGAATTCGGCTAATTGCACATATGTGGTGTCAGTTAATCCAACTTTTTCTTAGTCTGTTTTAATGCAACACTCAAATGAAATAAATATTTGTGGGCTAAAAGAAATGGAGATAAAGAAGAATAATAAGTGCTGCTCTGCACTTATGGATGGACAATAGAACAAGCTTAATGATGACTGTAGCACAAACAATTCGGGACAAAGTTTAAAATCACCAACCCTAAGCATGAGCAATACAACAGTGATGCTTGTCTTAACAGGCACCTCTAATAATTATTCTGACCTCATCAAGAAAGGTGTGAAAGATTTATAGATGCAGAATCTGACAATAAAATAATCTTTTGAAGCCCCAATCAAATCAAGCAGCAAACAACAAATTATGCAACAGGGACATTAAGAAAACTGTCTGCCTGTCTTTTCTTGTCTAAATATGCCAGGTTCCATTTGAATATGAAAAGACACTCAGCGGGAGACTGCCGTGTTTTTGCAGGGCTTCTGTTATTAGATGGACCTTGATGTGTTTGAAAGGATGCACACTTCAGTTTCTATCACTGGCCATCACTAATGAAGCGAAAACAGATCTGGACCCTGGTCCTCACCATCCCTTATAAAGGAAAAATACAGACAAAATGATGCTTTGATGGTGGTGGTTCTTAGTAAAGTGGGTTTTTGTGGGTCAGTCTCATGATAAAAAATGTCTGGATGATATTTCAGTCCAAAAGCAGAAGAAAAAAAAGAATTAAGAGAATGATGCCTATTTTATGAATAATTATTTTTATGATACAAAATAAAATCAAAATAAAAAAAAACATAAAAAATGATATCATTACCGTAATGCAAAAAAGTTACATTTTCATTACTGTAACACAAATACCATCCTGTCCAGAAATCCTTTACACACACACAAATTAAAAAGCATATACAAAGACATATATTTGCATTGAAGGAGCATCCAATAATTTTCCTCAGTGAAAAGTTTTTATACCCTAATTTTATTTTAAATTATGTAAAAAAAAAATTACTATGTTTACATTATAAATTAAATAATATATATATATATATATATTTTATCAAAATTATATATTTTTTACTGAGAATATGCTTAATAGCCTAAAATAAATCGTAATAACCTTCATTTTTTATGTCCAAGACAATCCCAGAGACAATGGTATTGTCACACCACTGTTCCTTACTGAGGAAGTAATCCTAGATTTCCTAAATCATGTTACACCGTGATGAACCACACAGAGGTTTAACAGTGAGAATATGTATGCTGGTTTTCTCTGATCTTATTCATGCCATTTAATCCGGAAATTCCACTGCTAAACCAACATGAAAGCGTAAGGTGAGGTTTGAGAATCTCAAAAGGCAAATTTCAAACCCAACAGTGTTTCTCAAATGCCTAGGGATCCAATGGTCATGCTGCAAAATGCTTACAGAGCTGAAAGAAAGGGCAGGGATGTGTTCGCAGATTTAAGGAGCACCTACTTGGTTTTTCCCTTTAAGCATCAACAGGTTGGTGACTTTGCCGAAAGGGACTCCTAGTGAGATGACCTCTGCCTCAGACACTTCGATGGGAACTTTGCGGACGTGGAGGACGCGGGAAGGGTCACAAGGAGATCGTTCTCCTTTATACGTTTTACTGTCAGTGCCATTAGCTGCCAAAAAGGAAAAAGAAAGAGACATATTTTCATTTTTTGATTTGACCAGTTTTCCAAATGCCAAAACTGGCATTGATGTACATGGATATTACAAAAGCAAGACCCATCAGACACCAAACACAATTATTATCGATTGACTGACACCAAAAAGGTCACTGTTACAAAATATTTTTCAATGTTTTGGCCTCACAAAGGACCTTCAATGAAGGTTAAGATGCAGCAGACAGACAGACATGGGCAGAAACACAAAACAGACAATACGACAGTGGTGGGCAGCATCTCTGACGCTTTCCCTTGAAACAATACGACAAGCCTCTTACAGGATTAAGCAGTCCTCTGTAGCCTGTCAAGACTCCAAATGGCACCCATTGTGGGGCGTTTGGCACTTGGCTATGTCCAGGAGCACATCACAGGCTGGTGACAGGTTTAACAGAGACCGACCGTGGCGGAGTGCCTGCCTCAGCTTTCAACGCTTGCAGCTTTCACGTTCTTTCAAGCCCTTGCACTGCTTGTATTTGTTTGATTGCAGATAACGGCATCAAAGCAATTGGTAACAGTGTTACCAATTGGGTAACAGTTGGGTGCAAAATGAAAAGATGTTAGAATATGCATGTATTGAATATGTATTGAATATGCATGTATTATACATTAAATTTTTACTAACACATATTACAGCCTACAGTGGGCAGACTTGTGGTCAATTTACCCAAATTCCCATTGTTTGCTAAACAGATAGTCCTGCCCTAAAATCACACAACTGAGCTCTGAAAAGTTGCACACTTCCCCCTAAAGTAACCTCAAGTAATTTTGGAAGTGAAACAAATGAATGTGCAGAAATTGCTGCATTGTTAGACTCTCCTATTATGTATTTGTCTAGTCATTGTTAGGTCATGCATGAACAATGAACGTAAAAGCTATAGTACTGTAATACAGTCAATAAACATCTTGTAATAAACATCTTCAGACACATTCAAATATGGGTCACGTATTCCTCAATTTGTATGTGTAGGCACCAAATTCTCCATGATGAATGCAGTAGTGCACAAGCATGAGTGAAAGTGAGATCTCTCTCTCTCTCCCTCACGCATTGATACACTCTCTCTTTCCAAAGTTAAGCCTGCCGATGAGAGGAGGCACAGAGAAACAGCAGTGCACAGAAGAAAGTGCTGCCATCAGCAGGACATCCAGCCATAGTTGAAAAAATGAACAGGCTCAATACAGTGATCCAGAACCTCCCCTCATTGTCCAGCACAGTGATCAAGACCTGCACCTTACAGCCTAGCGATCTAGCTCCTCACAACCTAGAACAGTGGTCCAATCTTTCCCTCCCAGTCCAGAGATCTAGACCCAGCCCTCACAGCTCAAAACACTGATCTAGACCCACTCCTCACAGACCAACACAGTGATCTCATCACTCCCTTACTGTCCAGAGATCAAGACACTCCCCTCACAGCCTAGCAGTGACCTAGATCCTTTCACAGCCCATTTCAGTGATCTAGAACATCCTCTTACAGCTCAGCACAGCCATCCAGTCCCTACCAGTCCAGGGATCTAGACATTTTTCTTCACAGCCCAGCACAGTGATACAAATCCCCCGCACAGCCCAATGATCTAGCCCCTTCTGTCAAAGCCCAGCACAGTGACCTAGGCCCTCCCCTCACAGCCTAACACAGTGTTCCCATCCATCCATTATAGTCCAGAGATCCAGACCCTCCTGTCACAGCATAGTGATCTAGACCCTGTCAAAGCCCAGCACAGTGACCTAGACCCTCCCCTCACAGCCCAACACAGTGTTCCCATTCATCCATTCTAGTCCAGAGATCCAGACCCTCTTGTCACAGCCCAGCATAATGATCTAGACCCTCCTGTCAAAGCCCAGCACCGTGACCTAGACCCTTCCCTCACAGCCCAGCAGTGATCTAGACCCTCCCCTCACAGCCCAACACAGTGTTGCCATCTCTCCATCCTAGTCCAGAGATCCAGACCCTCCTGTCACAGCCCAGCATAGTTATCTAGATCCTTCTGTCAAAGCCCAGCATAGTAATCTAGACCCTTCTGTCACAGCTCAGCATAGTGATCTAGACCCTTCTGTCACAGCCCAGCATAGTGATCTAGACCCTTCTGTCACAGCTCAGCATAGTGATCTAGACCCTTCTGTCACAGCCCAGCATAGTGACTCAGGCTAGTCTGTCACAGCTCAGCATAGTGATCTAGACCCTTCTGTCACAGCCCAGCATAGTGATCTAGACCCTTCTGTCACAGCTCAGCATAGTGATCTAGACCATTCTGTCACAGCCCAGCATAGTGATCTAGACCCTTCTGTCACAGCCCAGCATAGTGATCCAGACCCTTCTGTCACAGCCCAGCATATTGATCTAGACCCTTCTGTCACAGCCCAGCATAGTGATCTAGACCCTTCTGTCACAGCTCAGCATAGTGATCTAGACCTTCCTGTCACAGCCCAACACAGTGTTCCCATCCCTCCATCCTAGTCCAGAGATCCAGACCCTTCTGTCAAAGCCCAGCATAGTGATCCAGACCCTTCTGTCACAGCTCAGCATATTGATCTAGACCCTTCTGTAAAAGTTCAGCACAGTGATCTGAACCCTCTCTCACAGTCCAGAGATCTAGACCCTCCTTTCAAAGCTCAGTACAGAGATCTAGACACCAGCCACACAGACCAACACAGTGATCCCATCCCTTCCTCCTAGTCCAGAGATCCAGAGATTTATTATGCAACAATGACACTAAAATAAGTATGTGACTAGACAACCAATAAGAGTCAAAAAATTGTAGTGTGTGCTTTTCAGCTGTTCAAATGAATCATTGCCAAGGGGATCTAGTGAAATTCACGTCAGAGAAGGGATTTACAGCGAGAAACAAACCTTAGCAAAGCAACAGGCCCCGAACAACAATGTGTAGTCCTATGGGGGTTACTATAATGAGTGATGACCTTCTGGTGTCTGTCTCTAGGTGTCTGTCTACAAGCTGGTGTCAGCAAATGTTTAAAGTATTCAAAACCATAAGTGTTGGTTTCGTCCTCAACATCAGGTACTTAAAAGTCTATAGCAATTTGATTTTAAAAATATGAATGTGTGCTTAAACCATGTTTACACACATGCATACACATACTGATTCCTGTACTGCCAGTTGTACAAGCAGATAAAATAATCAGTGTTACATTTATGCCCTGCCTAGTCTGACTGCTACAAATACAAACCCTTATTTAATACTAATGAGGTCTGTCTTAGTCCAGACCCTGCATCTAGATTCAGTCGAAAGCGATATGGATCATGAAAAACAAGCATGCATCTGCAAGACATCTAATGTTAATGCACAGAACATGAGTCTGATTAAACAGGCAACAAAACAAAATCTCCAGTGGAATAACTCAATGCAGGCTGAGGCAGTAGCCTACCACATGCAGAGAGCTAACAAACTGAGAAAAGAAACGAGATAATCCCTTTAGAGGACAGGCAAATTGTAATCATGGTAGTTTCCCATATACTGCAGAAAAGGACGCACAAACACAACATGCTGAAAGAAAAAAGCATATATATTTTTTTATAATATAATACCTAAACTGCTGTTGAATAGCTCTTAGTCTGCAGTTTTCTTCCCTGGAGGCTCATTCAGAATATAAAATATGCAAGTTTGAATAAGCTCAATTATGCTTTATTATAACTGAACCTACTGCAACCAAGGATTTATTTATGATGCATGAATGAGACTCTTATGTGTCCTAGAGACAGGCATCTCGCCACATAGCAGCCACCAGGAGAACAGAAAGATGATTGGACCACTTTTCCAATGACCCTGTGTTACCATGGTGACCATACACATGACCTATCAAGGCATCTGGCTTCACCACGGCGATTCATCTCATTGTGCCGTTAACAAATCTTATTGTGTGTTTAATGTGATTAGAGGAACCATCCCTGGATCAAATATGCCACAGGCTTTTCAAGAGGAAATGAGTAAAAGGGATCTTTGAAATTCACATATGTAAACTCAATACACATAATGGATTGTGGAAAACAAAAGAAACATTTCCTACATTACTTAAGCATGCCAAAATTTTGGCAACACTTTAATTTAGGGACCAATTCTAACTATTAACTTTGCTTATGAGCATGCATATTACTAGCTTATTGGCTGTTTATTAATGATTATAAAGCACATATTAATGCCTTATTTTGCTTAAACATATTCTAGATCTTTTAATCCAATCCCACACCTAAACTTAACAACTACCTTAACTAAATATTAATAAGCAGCAAATTTGAGGCAAAATGCATAGTTAATAGTTAGTTGATAGTGAGAACTGATCTGTAAGTAAAGTGTGACCAAAAATTGAAATAATTATCCTTTGCAAATGTTGCTAAATCATTCTGTTTTTAAGCAAGAATTTATAATAATTTTAAAAATTACATTAATAAAAATGATACAATACACATTTCATGAAAACATACAAATTTGATGTATATTTTTATTTATTTATTTGAAAGAAATGAATACTTTTTATTCAGTAAGGATGATTAATTGCTTGCATCACAGGAACACAGGAATTTTTAATTAATAATATTTAACAATATTTCTGTTTCATAGAAATTTTATTACAAGAGAGTTACAGATCCCAAATTTTTTGATGGTAGTGTACAGAAGTATACGGTATGCTTCTCATATGCGCATGAACCTTCATAATAAATATAGGGCTTGATGACAATACCATTTTTAAAATCTTTTTGCCAACTGTTTAAATTTACAAAACCGTATTAATGTTGCAAGCCAGAACAGAGTACATATGCTAACCACTAAGCCATGGTCTCGACCCAGTGACATTGCAACTTCAAGCTTCTTTGTATTTTTCTTTTCACATTCTGTTATATGAGACTAGTTCAAATTGGTTCAAACTTAAAACTACTAAGAATTACAATTCATTCCGTCTAGAGGTAGAATAAGGATACATTTACTTTTTTAGTTTGCTTAAAGAGTTG